TCATTGTCGAGTTGTAATGGTTTGGGTTTAGTCTTTTTCTGTTCTACGTTTTCGACATATTTTGTTTTGTAACGTTGGATTTTGTCTGCATCTTACAGAGAAACTTTAAAACCTGTTTGTCGTATTTTATTTATTTTCAATAAAGTTTTATTTTTTGAAAAAAAATTATAATCAAATATTGACAAGAAACTTGAATGAGGTTTTTTTTGGTGGTTGTCAAATGACAATAAAATAGAATAAAATATTTAACTAAATATTATCCTAATAACCAAACCTTAACAATAATTTAATTGGGTGTGTGGCCAAGGTTGTAAAGGATTAGATTAATACAAGATATTAAAAGTTTTATAAAGTAAGAGGCCGTTTACTAAATACTTATCCGGTAAGTGTTTATCAATAAAATTTAACACTATTATTTACTTACTGAATAAGATTTTAGTCTATCAAAACGACATCACATGCAACAATTTACCCGGTAAGTGCTTACCATGGTAAGAGTCGTCGCCCTCGCTTACCGGTTAAGACTCTTGGTCTTTGTCCCGCTTTTTTCGGGTAAGATTATTGGTTCTTACCATATTCATCCGATGAGGTAACGTGACACCTATAAATAGGTGTCTTGGGCTTAAGATTTCATTATTCGTATTCATATTGAGAGATTTTTTATGAGAGTCGTTTAGAGAGAAAAAAACATTGTAATTTCTGTTTTGTTTCAATAAAATCAGATATATGTTCATCTGCTTTCTATCTTCAATCTGTTCTTGATTTGCTACTTAGAACTGGGATTCTCAAAATCAAAAACCAAAAAGTAAAAGATAAAAATGCGATAGAAACCAATTTGGTTTAGGACTGGTTTGGAAGTAAAAAAATCTATTTTGGTTCTGATTTTGAATCGGAGTGATCAACGGTTTTAATAAAATAAATAAAAACCAAATCAAAAAAGCTGTTTATTTGATTTGTACAAAAGTGAATATGGATTCCGTTGTAATTCTCAGCAATTTTATTGTTCTTTTGAAAGATTTTGATATTTAAGATCGACGTTTCTTTTGAAATGTTTTATGAGATTATGCATTCTCTATTGCCGTTAATGATGTCTTAGTACGGATTTTTGAATTATTCAAAAAAAAAAAATAACAACTTAAAAACATTAACCCAAACCTCATTCGACTCGAACGGGTTATTCGACAATGGGTTCTTTTAATACCCTTAAATACGCCCCCGATCATATGACTTTCTTGATCTGCCACTGCGTATTATAAAAATGGTTATGGATAATTTTTATCTGTTATCTTATAAAAGCTTATAATTATCTTTCTTAATAAATTTCAATATTTTTTTTATAATCTAACAAATATAATAATTAATTTTTAATAAAACCACAAGGGTGGTACCTGATTGGTTTGAACTTGGCTTCAAAGGTCAAAAGTACCAGAAGGTCTCAGGTTCAAATCCAAGAAGGAATAAAAATCCCCTTATGCCACGGGTGTTCAAATACGGTTACTCCGGGCTATTTGCAAAACAGATGGTTGTTCTGAAATTAATCGGCTTACATAACGGGTTGGATATCCAGGTAAATTTTTTTTTAATAAAATCACAAATAATAATACACAAAAAATTAAAAATGGAATGATTGATGCATAATCCCAACATTCCTACCAAACGGCAGATGTACCTAAGCAAATTAATTTATAACCAATTTCCTAATTGTCAATTCACTTAACTACTATAACTTTTTCTTCATATTTAATCATTAACCAAACTAAATTCCTAAATAAACCAAAGCGTCTTTGGTCTAGCGGTATCTGAGTCTTTTGCTTTTTAGAAGGTAAGAGGTTCAAACTTCATCAATAGTGAGGAGGGTGTGTAAGTTTATTTGTTGTATTTGCCGTATATAACTTATATTATATATTTCAAAGAGAAATTGACCGAAAACTTTTAAAACGTTAAAGAAAATAACAAATAAACAACGAACTTTTGCTTAGAAATGCTTGTACATATTTTTAGGTTTTTTTTTGAAGTATATAATATTTATATACGTCAAATGCAACAAATAAACTCACACACCCTTCTCACTTTTGGTGAGTTTTGAATACGTGACTTACTAGGAGGCCAATGACTACGATACCGCTAGACCAAAAGTCATTTGGTATATTTTTAGGTTTAAAACATCGGATTTTCAAGAACGATCTTGGTAACATTTACAGATGTATGTAATCGTTTTCGAGGGATGCTTCGTAAGAACTTAAGTACCTCATGGTCTGTAATCTTCACGTAAAAAATCTAAACGCTCTGAATTTGTCAAATGCCATTACATTATTATTTATAACAAATAATAAAAAAAAATACAACATTACTTTTTTTTATTAACGTGGATATCCAACCCGCTATGCGAATCGACTAATCCCAGGACGATCACCTGCTTTACAGATAGCCCGGAGTCACCGCATTTGAACCTACGTAGCCACAAACGGATTTTTTTATTATAAAATCCTGATCCCATGCACACATATATTGAAATGTTATGTTTTGGTTTCTTTTCAAACACTATAAGAGAAAGATACATGATTGATAAGGCTAAACTCTATCTCCTCTCAATTCCAACCCCTTCTCCCGCCCCCCGCCCCCATCGTGGTCGCCACCACCATCGGTGGCAACCACCATCCGTTTAAATGGGAAACTGCTTAAACCCAATGATGAGATCAGGAGAACCCCATGAAGCAGAAGAAACAAAGCCTCTTGTGACATCCACATTGCATGCAGATGATCATGATGGTTGGGTACCACATGATCGTGATCATGCGGTACCCAACCATCATTACTATTGTAAGAAAAGGAAGACCATGAGATCTCCTAGAATCAAGAGAGCTGTGAGGGTTAAGGTGGTGTTGACACAAGCTGAATTGAATCAGCTCTTGAATAGGGTCATCACCCATCACCACCACCCGTCACCGCCATCGTTGGCTGATCGAATATCGGTGAATCGTAGCAGAAGCAGAAGGTCGTCGATGATGTGTGGATGCAGTTGGAATCCTACGTTACAAACTATACCTGAATATGTTCATGACAAGATGTAGCTGCTTGGTTCGAATACAATATTTGTGTTCATACCTGTTTTTTTTTTGTAATTAGCTGTCTCCATTCATTCATTACATGCTTAGATTTATTGTTCAATTGGATTTTATAATGAATTAATATCGTGTATATGTTTCATCGGACACTCGGTTTATGTACATGATATCAATTTTTTTTTTTTTTTTGCAATTTCACTGGAAGCCAAGAGAGATTGTTTAAGGGGTCGTTTACCAAACACTTATTCAGAAAGTGTTTACTGGTAAAACTTAACACTATCAACTACTTATTGGATATCCACCAAAAAGGTATCGTATGTAGTAATTTACTTGGTAAGTGCTTACCGTGGTAAGAGTTGTCGCCCCCACTTACCGGGTAAGACTTTTGGTCTTTGTCTCGCTCTTACCGGATAAGATTCTTGGTTCTTACCATATTCGTCCGGTAAGGTAATATGACTTGATAAACGTTTATCAAATAAGCGTTTAATAAATGACTCCTAACTGTTATTTTTTTTTTAAGATTTCTTCAATATAAAAAAAAGACGAATTTTTAAAAGATATTAAATTCAGCTTTAACAATTTATCTTGGATCCTAAATTAAATTAAAATGTTGAATGCAATTAATACCTTAACAAACTTTTTATAAATTAATAATTTACAAAATAAATTTTACAGATATTATACACATTTCATCTCCTAAAAGGATTAAAAAAATAATCAATTGATTGGAGATTTATTGATGTATATGACGAAGAGATGGTAAAAAAATCGGTTTCAAGCTGCGCTGTCCTAAATCGGTTGATTAAAAATCACGATGGTTGGTTTTGACCGAAAAATTATGAGACTGATTTAGGTTCAATAACATATATATGTTTTTTTTACATAAAAATGTGACACATGTTTTTATGATTAAAATTTGAGAAATTTAATATTAAAAGACATTTTAAATAATATATTTAAGTAGATAAAATCTTGAAAAAAAAACTTAAAAAACTAGTATTACAATTTATAAAAACTTATTTTTTTTTTTGAGAAATACGATCCATAACCGATATTCAATGCTTGAAGTTCCATTAAATATGTAACCCACTCCCAGACCATCAAACCATAATCAATCCCTAATCAGTCGACCAAATCAAACCATAGCCAATCCCTAATTAATTGACCGAATCAAACCATAGCCAATCCCTAATCAGTCAACCGAATCTCTAATGGAGATCTTTTATTCTCTCTTTTTATTTCCAATTTGGAGAATGGTTTGGAAGTTCCATTTGATCTTAAATGTTACCAAAAAGATCGATTCCCAAGGAGTAAAACTTCAAGTTCACGACCCGTGGGCCTTCTACCTTCACGCAACATTGCTACTCGTTTTACTATTCTAGAATACATTTCTCTATTAGAATCCAATGGAATTTCAAAGTGACGGGATCCACTCATATGACCATGTTCTATGAACCCCATTGGGGAGTGAAATAGAAGATGAAACCGACAAACCATTCCAACCGACGGTCAGAATTTCTTCAAATATATCCTCGAATTTATTCTTAAAATGGATTGATGTTGTAAGATAACCTGCCAGTGCCAGTGTCTTTGTTTAATTTTATAATTAATTAATATGATTAATTAAATAAATGCTTTTAATGAAACAATACATTTTGGGTAAAGTTTTTAAAGGGAGGTAATAGTCTGTTACAGACAGAATAAGGAGCTGTTTGGCAGTTGTTGAATGGTTTTTTCCAAAATCATTAAATGATCAGAATGATTAAGAAACTCTCATAACATAATACAAAATAAAATATAATTATTTGATAATTATTTATAATGAAATTAGGGCTCTTAATGGTTAAAGGAAGCTCACGATACAAAACTATTAAAAGGGTTTTAAAATCATTAAGAGACATATTTTTTTTTGCCAAACAATATTCACCTCTTAACGATTCAGAGATTGCCTCTTAATGAAACTATTAAAAGGTAAACAAACAACCCTAATTTCACAGCAATTTCAATGAAAGCTAGCTTCAACTTTCGTTGGCATAGTTTGGAATTTGGATACATGATACATAAATTTGGAAACGAAAATAATTAAATAAAAAATCAGCAGCAGAAAACACCTCTTCCCATGACAAAGAAACTCATTTTGTCAACTATCTTGATTGTGTCTGTTGGTAGAATAACTCTTTATTTTGGCTCAAATTGAAACAGCATTTCACTTTTGTGTAGTCAGTTGTCGAATAACGTACGGGAGAATGCCACCATGGTTGAAATACGCCAATTCCACCTGCATTAATAACTCAAACTCCGTCATCAAACAAACCCAATATATATATCTCACTCGGAAGTAGGGTCTCGAATATACAGATATATTTCCTCTACCCCGAAAGAGTAAAGAAACTGTTTCTGGATGATCGTGATGATAACATATACATTTTCTCTCTCTCTCTCTCTCTCTTTTGACTTGGTCGTGTTCTTCCAACTTGAAAATGAACATGTTATTTTATCAGATAAATGAAGTAAAGAAAGCATACCTCCGTGTCAAAGCGTACGGTGCAAGTGAATGACTTCCCAGAGTCGGTAGTCACGGTCACATCTTGACCAGGCCGGATCTCACTAATATTGCTTGGTAGGTCTATGTTATATCGTTCATGGCCAGTCAGCTGTAGCGTGTCTGCATCCTCGCCGGCCTTGAAACAAAGCGGTATAATACCCATTCCTACCAAATTACTGCGATGGATCCTCTCAAAACTTTTAGCAATCACTGCTTTAACACCCTGTAGAATATCCATAACCATTGCAACCATCAATACCAAAAGTCAGACTTGAAATTTACCAAACCAAACAGACCCAGTATATCCCACCCCGAGGTGGGGTCGGGGGAGGTTAAGATGTACGCAGACCTGATCTCTAGCTCAAAGAGTAGAGCCACTGCTTCCATGAAAGACCCACCCCCCTCCTGGGGCTCGTGAAAAGTGTGCGAAAGAGAGATAAGAACATAATTTAATAACTCACCAACAACATAGGGCCCTTGGCAGCCCAATCTCTGGAGCTTCCACTACCATACTCTGCTCCAGCCAAAACAATGGTATCCTGGCCAGCAGCCTTGTACCTCTGGTAAGATGCACAATGGTTGCGATAATTAAGGCAAAAGATAACGTGTTTTCATTGTATAATTTACTGGACATAACATTCATGAACTCACCGACGCAGCATCAAACACAGAGAGTTTCTCTCCGGTGGGAATATGTACCGTCTTTGGGCCCACTTCTCCATTTAAGAGTTTGTTAACAATGCGGATGTTGGCAAAAGTACCCCTTGCCATAATTTCATCGTTACCTCTTCGACTACCATAAGAATTGAAGTCCTTGCGATCAACCCCATGTTCAAGAAGGAACTTTGCAGCCGGGCTGTCCTTGTGGATGCTTCCTGCAGGTGAAATGTGATCTGTTGTGATACTGTCACCAAAGTTCAGCAAGCAGTAGGCATCCTTCACACCATGGGCCCCGGGCGGGTCCATTGTCATGTTCTTGAAATATGGTGGCTCATGGATGTAAGTAGACTTTGTGTCCCATGAGTATAACTTGGATTCTTCGACTGATAGGTCATTCCACATAGGATTTCCCTTGGTGATAGCTTCATAAGTACTCTTAAACATGGCGGGTAAAACACTTGATTGGACGGCCTGAAACATTTAATCTTTCAAGTTAACAAAACAAACTTTTGGGCCTAGAATATAGCCTGTGGGTGGATTTAATGGCTTCTAAGATAGATTTGTTTTGATTTTAATATTTCCTTTAGCTTACAATCAGAAAAAGTCTGATAATTTCAACAGACTCTTAGGGTGCTTACATCTGCAACTTCTTGGGTGCTTGGCCAGATATCCCTGAAATAAACATCCTTTCCATCTTTTCCAACTCCAATTGGTTCCTTCTCAAAATCAATATCAACCTGAGAAACAAAATCAACATGTCCTGAGCTGACAAAGGAAATCAGATATAAGTGCACATTTGTACAATACTATGTAAGAATGAAGCGCCTGGGTGGTCCTTGATGCAATTCTAACCATGACCTAAGGCTGTCAATGGGTTGGATCAACTAGCGGTTTGATCTGATCCATTAGCAAATGGGTTGTGATTCTAATCATGACCCAACTAATCCAAATAAATGGATCATGATCTAGATCAATCCATATTCTCATATTATGATGACCCTCCCAATTTGTTAGCAACTAAATTTCTACTTCAACATAGCTCTTGCTACCCTAGCATCCTCGAGAAATAAACACAGCCCCTCCACTGTTAAATGTTAATATCACTTAATTGCCACTTCAGATGAAAATATTAGATAAACCATCAAGCATGTGGAAACAGCGTGAAGTTCATCTGCCATTCCTTTCACAAGGCCATTTATATGAATTAATATTTCTTCCAAAGAGAATGTATTCATGCTCTTGAAGGTTCTCATGATGTATGCTTGATAATTTTCTATCAAACTATGTTCTTACCGTGCCTGCTAGGGCATAGGCGACAACTAAAGGTGGTGATGCAAGGTAGTTTGCTCTTGTCAAAGCATGAACACGTCCTTCGAAGTTACGGTTCCCAGAGAGAACAGCAGATGCAATGATATCTGCACAGAAGCGCCAGGAGGGAAAGAGATCAAAGATCAAATTTATAGCTTCAAACAGAACAGGAATTGGAATCTTAGGGGCCATTTACCAACACAAATTGCGTAAGCGCCAATCGAGTAAGAATGCGGTTTGGGTAAGAGGTTCGTTCTAGATAAGTGCTGACTGAAGCACAGACTTCAGAAAGCAATCCCTTCCTGACTGCGTCAGTTTCTTGGTCAGCATATTTATGGTCAGTGTGTGTTGGTAAACAACATCCCTTCTAACCAGATAAACACCTCTTACCCAGTTACACGCAATCAACACATCGTAAACATCCCCTTAGTTTCTAATTAGGCCATACTAGAGGGTTACAAAAGAAAGGTACAACTCTACCATTTTCAGTTATCGCAGAACCAACACTTTCATCCAGATCCCCTGAATTGCCAATACATGTTGTGCAGCCATAGCCAACAATGTTGAACCCTTGCTCATTCAAATACTTCTGCAATCCACTGTATTAAGAAAAAGACTCATATCCTAGTTAGTTTTCTTCCGTCAAGGGAACAAACTAGATAATGAAGAATTTTGTTCTTTAAAAAAATACAATCAACACCTTTGTAGCAAATATTTTGTAACAACTCCAGAGCCTGGAGCAAGACTTGTTTTAACCCATGGTTTGACCTGGTTATTAAGCATTATGGGAAGCAATTATATTAGAAGACCTGAAATATACCCAAAGCTTAAGTAGGGTAGGAGAAACAGAAAATTAGGTTAGCACCAGATGTCATCGATATGTAACCATGCATGACTAACCTTTAGGCCCAATTCGCAGGCCTTTTTCGCAACAAGGCCTGCCCCAAGCATAACACTAGGGTTTGATGTATTTGTGCAGCTCGTGATAGCAGCAATCACAACACTACCATGCCTGAGTTCTGCTGGTTGTCCATGAAATGAAAATTTTGCAACTTTGTCCTGTGCCTCTTTTGGTACAGCAAAGCCCTGAAAGGTTTTGTTTTTCCAGAATGGGTAAGTTAAAAATATACAATGCAACAAGTAAAAGATGATGTGTCAACCAGTTTACTTAAACATATTCCATCACCCGAGAGGGAGGTTGGGATTCAAGAGAGTAAAAACAAACATTTATAAACAAAAATTACATAGCTAAGGGGTTCATAAACCAAATCTTGTCCATCTAAAACTCACCTTGAATCCTACTTTGTTGTCAAGGCAAGAATGCCAATCTGCTTTCATGTCTTTCAAAGGAACCCGGTCATGAGGCCTGTCAAAGAAATAGTAAATATCTGGAAAACAGACTGAAAGCATTATACAAGTTAATGGAGATGTGGGACATCTTGCACTGGTTAAAACTGCACAAACACACACCTCTTTGGCCCTGATATACAAGGTTCTACATCTGTAAGGTCTAGCTCCAAGTAGGATGAGTATACTCTTTCTTGTTGTGGCTGGAATTATATACATCATAATTACATTATCAGAGTGATATTAAATAGTCCATTTTGCAGTTAAGAATCACAAGTAGGGATCTTACCTCATTATAGTCAACAAACATGTTGTTTGCCCTTAAATATGCTTCTATCATTGCTACCTAAATTTCACCAAAGGGGGATGTCAATGAAGAGCACAAGCAAGATGCATCAGGCAGTATACTGTAACTAGTTTAATGGTGGCCCATATAACTAAAATGTACATACAGTATCATCGCTTCGTCCAGTTAATTTGAGATATTGAAGAGTGACATGATCCACTGGGAAGAACCCCATTGTTGCACCATATTCAGGAGACATGTTGGCAATGGTAGCCCTATCAGCTAGAGATATTTTACCCACACCATCACCTATCAAAATAAACGGAAGTAAATATTTGCAGGTACTTGCTAGTTGCTACCATGTAGCTGCTAATCACAGCCAGGTTTACCTACCATGGAATTCAACAAATTTTCCAACGACACCATGCTTCCTCAACATTTGGGTGACAGTTAAAACCAAATCAGTAGCTGTTACACCATCACGCAATTTCCCTGATAACTTAAAGCCAACAACCCCAGGCAAAACCATGCTCATTGGCTGTCAATATGACAATACAATATGTTAGGGATAAACTACAGTAGAATGCTTGGATACATCATGTGTCAAGAAGACAAAGTTGAAAGATCAATTCACGACAAGTATCAGGACAAGAGGAAAGCTGCACACAAGAAAAGGAGGCAATCCCGATCCAGCAATGCCCGTATTTTCCTTCAATTTTTTGTGGCTAGAGCAAGTTTTAAAAGAACGAATCGGGTCTCGAGGCGTTTTCCCTCAACGAGGCGAGGCATAAGCACGAGGCGGAAACAGATATACACCAAAATATGTATATATACTACAAATATATATACATTTGTATGTATATTATATATATATATATATATAATACTAAATTACTAAGAGAAGCTGGTTCAGTGGTTCTTGACAGAGGAAAGAATGAAACCGCGAGATAGGCTGGGGGTGTGGAAAAATTGGTTGCTTGGAAGAAGAGGAAGGGTTAAACCACATTTTTTTGATTGAGAGGAGAAAGTACTAGCTTTTTGGGTTTTAAAATATTAAAAGTATACATTGGGAGAGCGTTGACTTTTTGTTTTTGAAAATAAAAAAAAAGATTGTTATACTATAAAGAGAAGTACTACTACTGCCATAAAGCTTATAAAAGAAATCCAAAAAAACCCATTACCAAAGCAGATCATCTGAGGAGTACGCCTCGACACCACCTCATGCCTCGACACCACCTCATGCCTCACCGAACCACCTCACTAAGCCAAGGCGTTCGCCTCAAACGAATTTTAAAACCATGGGCTAGAGTAATAAAATGAACAAAAATCACCAGATATGACGCATACATACAACTTCTTTCATAGTATTGGTGAAAGAGCAAGATTTTGTCACTGAATTAAGAGAAAAGACTCTAATAAGGAATCTTCACCAAGCCCACAACTGTGACCGTGATCATACCTTTACCTCATGTTATTTGTTAACTACTACAATGGACTAATACGACAAGCTACTTATGCAGTTATGCTCTTAGATATCAAGCTAGGTGACATCCAATTTGGAGTAGTTCAACGAGAAAACCGCACAATCAACCAAACAGCTCGTCACAAAATATATGTACCCACATTCATCAGCAAGTTGCAAGATATTACCAACAGAGTTTCTAAATCCTTTACCTGCCCAAGCATTGTTGCCTCAGCTTCAATTCCTCCAACCCCCCAACCAGCAACACCTAACCCGTCAATCATTGTAGTGTGGGAATCAGTTCCCACAACACTATCGGGATAGAGCATTCCATCAGTGTTGAAAACAACCCGACCCAGGTATTCAAGATTAACCTGAAATTGTGTCAAGTTAAATTATAACTGCTTTCTTCACTAGTTACATCAAGTTAACATTTAAAAATAAGAAAGGGAAAAAAGTCGAATCTGGAGTTCAGCATGTCAAAATATAAAATTGTACTCGGTAAATGTTGAAGGGACTGGCCAAAGTAAGATACTAATATTACGCCACTAACACCAAGATAGATATTCAATGCAATACAAAATAAGTATGAGCCCATAATCTTCTATATCTAACCCTGTACCTGATGCACGATACCAGATCCTGGTGGAACAACAAGCATGTTCTGGAAAGCTTTTGATCCCCACTTAAGAAAAGCAAATCTCTCCTTGTTTCTTTGAAATTCAAGTTCCATATTTGCTTGTACTGCATTTTCTGACCTAGCTACATCAACTTGAACTGAATGATCAATGACAAGATCTACTGGCACCTGAAGCAAAACATAACAATGATAATCAAACATCAAAAATAAAGTCAAAACTCTTTTTGCATACACACATGGAGGCGCGGAATGCATCCGAACAGAGCTATTTAAACAAGTTAATTAAATGAAGAGACATGCCAACTGACTCGATATTATATTATTTACAGTCAAAATGCAAATACATGTGCTTATAAATATGAAGCTCCCACAAGTCCAGGTAGGTTGGCAGTTAACTTCAATGGCCAATGTTAGTTAAAAACAAATGCATGTTACAGCACGTACCAAAGGATTGATCTTGTTAGAGTCACCACCTAGATTATTCATGGCATCACGCATACATGCGAGGTCAACAACAGCTGGTACACCAGTAAAATCCTGGAAAACAAAACAAAGGTCACAACATGATATCTGCACTCTGCATAAATGGTACATGTGGTGATGAAAAGTTAAGACAAAAGTCACAACATGATATCTGCACTCTGCATAAATGGTACATGTGGTAATGGAAAGTTTGAAAAAAAGTCAAAGTGGATACCTGCAAGAGAACACGGGCGGGCTTGAATGGAATCTCGACTTGCTTTGGAGAAGTCTTCTCCCAATCAATTATCTTCTCGACGTCTTCCTTAGTAACTTGGAAATTATCACAATTACGAATTGCAGATTCAAGAAGTATCCTAATAGAATACGGCAACTTGTCTGTTTTCCACAACAAAAAGATTATGGTTATTGTAAAGCAAAGTGCAACAAGTGTATCCACTAATTTACAAACATTTCAAGAAGACCAACAATCCTCACAACCGAACGAACATCATAACTTCCGATTTTATGCTTTATAGGAGAAGATTGCGAATCAAGCAATAATTTTGCCCACGACGCATGTATTACATGTATCGAGAAAATGGTGAAATCTAAATTGCATGATAAGAAAATTACCGATCCTTGGGTCATTCAAAGCAGGCAGACTATAGAACTTTCCAAACTCCCCACCGCCAGGCTTGGGAAGACCAGTTAGAATTCCATTAAAAACATTCTGAGACGCTGTACATGCATTAAATACACAAATCAGATATAAAACTTAGACAAAGACAATTTCAGACAGCAACAAGATAAAGATACATCAAAAAGCAGATCCGACGAACATCATAAGGAAACGGTACAGTATTTTTAAGATTGTATATAGCACAACATTCTCTATACCAAAATCATCCAGGCTTTTATTCATACGAACATATTATCACCTGCAAATATCTACTAACTCAACAGTATATAAGCTTTTTATCTATTGTATAAATTTATATACCCTCTTGCTTACAGTTTTAAGAGAAAGTTCTTTTAGAACCAATATAGTAGTCTAAAATACCTCTGTTTCTCAATCACAGCAATGAAAATTAAGATTTCTGTGAATATTTTATTCTTTCCGAATGTAAATAAAAAATCTTACCTGCTCACAAGATAAATAGTGTTCAACATTATTTTATTGACATTGCAGAAGCTGCGATTAACTAGAAACTGGATACTTCCATCCAAAAAGAAATGCAACATTTTTATTTTTAATTTGTCCAGAAAAGATGCCAACAGTTTCTTTCATGGTTTTCAACCCCCTCGATTACTCTTTTATCCGCTAGAAATGTTCCTTGATAACCTTCGGTGTATAATTTTCTTTTATGCTCTCTTTGTCTTTTAAGGCATTCGCATTCATTTGACGGATAAACAGATAACATGTATCTTTTTGGTAATATTATACTATCTTCTAAACTACCTAGCTAATGAACACTTCAACTAAAATCCATACACCCAACTACCCGAGTCAACATCATTAACCCTTTTTAAGTGTCTTTTGATGATGAGGTGTAAAAGGCAGCGAATTACTTTTTTTTTCCTTTTTCGTGTGTGCGTGGGGTGGGGGGAGTATTAGGTCAAAATCACCATCAACTCGAATCATACACCGAATGATTGACAATTGACCCTGTACGTCAACGCATCCTTTTGGATGCGTTTCGACGTGATGTAGAATAAAGCAAACGAAATGATAACTTTCAAATCAAAAACCATCGGAACGCTAGGTATTATGTAAATACATCAAAAATAAAACCGCGTGAAATCAATAATTAAGCAAAGGTAGGGATCAATTACCCATAGTAGCTAAACTACGGTGGAAGCGATCGAGTACAGGAGAAGCAGCGATCCTGATCTGAGACGTGAGAGTAGCGGGAGACTTCCAATCAACACCGTGGCTCCATCGTGGGACGGATGATCTAACAGAACGAAAGGCGGAGGATGCGCCGCTGTAAGATCGGTACTGAGAAGCGATGGGAGATGGATCTGAGGAAGGCGTGGGAGATGTTTGAGTCCTGGAGATTGAAGAATGAAGCCTGGAAGAGGACCTTGAAGCTCTTCGAAGGAGAGCTGCAGAATGGGGTCCAGTTACATACATGATGATAACGACTGAATTACAGAAACATCCAAGGATTGGGTGATAAGGTTTGTTGAAATCGAAGAAGATGAGGTATGGCGGTGATGAAGGTTAGAGATGATTGATAATGGCGTTTGCAGAATTGGGAGTGTGGAAGACAAATGGAGCGTATGGGCGTGTGCCACTTTTCTAGAACGGAATTAATTCGTCGTGTGCTGTCCATATATTTTCCTTTCGGATCTTTTCCCAAAAAAAGCATTTTTCTTGACCTAATTTATCAAAAAGCTGTTAATTAAATATAGTAGCTTACTTGCATGATATAATGAGATATATTTCGATTTTGATATATTATTTTATTTTTTATTTTTGTTGATGTTATAATACAATTTTATGTATTTTTAAGAAATTAATAATAATTTTATTTTTAAATAAAATATAAATTTGAAGATATTATA